TCCCCTCCCCCCACCACACCTCTACCTCTGCCTTTCTGTAACTGTGCCTTTCAAATAAATAAATCTTGTCTCTCTCTCACTGTCCACTCTGCCTGTCAAAAACAAAAACAAAAACAAAAAAAAATAAATCTTAAAAAAAATCCAGTTTAGATGGGAATTATTAGTATAACTAATGATTTGTAAGCCAGAGGTTTTCTTGATACACTTTTCTGGGAGATCTGTTTAGGCGGGCATCTTTTCAGTCAGCAGGCTAAACAAGAATCTTGCTAGTGAAAAGAATGCCTCCTGGTATCATATTATTAGTGAATTTAGAACTATTATCTGGTATTGCGGTCTTTTCCTGTATTGGTGGGTGCTCTCCATCTTTTATAGACTGAAAGCCCTAGAAAATTATAATAACGTGGAATTGTTCCAAGGTCACTACACCCTGCTTGTCAAGGCTGTTTTTTTAAAAAATTATTTTTATTTATTTTGAAAGAGTTACAGAGAGGTAGAGGGAGAGAGAAGTCATCCATCTGCTGGTTCACTCCCCAAATGGCCATAACAGCCAGAGCTGAGCCATTCAGAAGCCAAGAGCCAGGAGCTTCTTCCGGGTCTCCTACATGGGTGCAGGGGCCCAAGGACTTGGGCCATCCTCTTTCTTTCTGTGCTGCTTTCCCAGGCACATCAGCAGGGAGCTGGATCGGAAGTGAAGCAGTGGGGACTTGAACCGGTACCCATATGGGATGCCAGTGCTGCAGGCCAGGGCTTTAACCCACTGCACCAGAGCGCCAGTCCCTAGGCCATTATTCAGTGATTCTTCCAGATTCATCTCACTTGTACCTGGGCTTCTACCTCTGATTTAAATTTAATTTTTTTGTTGTTGTTGTTAAAGATATTGTGTTGCCTAGAAAAAGAGATATTAACTTGGGGGTAAGAAAACTAAGAAGGTGAATAAAAAATTAATGTAGCATAGAACTGTGTGGTTCAGCTATGAAAAGTACATATATTATTTTGATAGTGAAAACTCTGTTGATTTCACCAAAAATCATTCTTTTCTCATGATTGTATGGGGAAAAGCTGGTTTGTAGTGAGGGAGTTGTGTGATCCATCTTATCAAAGAGTAGCCATCTGAATTAAAATGCTTAATTATTGGAACAAGAAAAAATTATAAGAAACAGTTTGAAAGAGTAGGAAAATAGGGATGAGATAGTTGAAGTAGTGAACTGATTTTTATTGCAAACTTTTAAAATACAAGGTGACATGTGCAAAAAGACTTGGGTTCCTTCATAGGTTTTCTTGGTGCAGTTACTGTGCTCTAAATCCTAGTGGAGTAGCAAGTTACGCCACCGCCTATGTGGGTGCCAATTCAATTCCCGGCTGCTCTACTTTTGATCCAGCTCCCTGCTAATGTGCCTGGGAAAGCAGCAGAAGATAGCCAAATGTTTGTGCCCCTGCACCCCCATGGGAGACCTGGAAGAAGTTCCTGTCTCCTTGATTCAGCCTGTCCAGCCCTAGCTATTGTGGCCATTTGGGGAGTGAACCAGTGATGGAATACCTCTCTCTGTCTCTCCCTGTCTCTCCCTCTATAACTTTACCTTCCAAGTAAGTTTTAAAAAACTACCTTTTCCCCAGCACCGTGGCTCAATAGGCTAATCCTCCGCCTTGCGGCGCCGGCACACCAGGTTCTAGTCCCGGTCAGGGCGCCGGATTCTGTCCCGGTTGCCCTTCTTCCAGGCCAGCTCTCTGCTGTGGCCCAGGAGTGCAGTGGAGGATGGCCCAAGTGCTTGGGCCCTGCACCCCATGGGAGACCAGGAGAAGCACCTGGCTCCTTGCTTCGGATCAGTGCGGTGCACCGGCTGCAACGCGCCGGCTGCGGCAGCCACTGGAGGGTGAACCAATGGCAAAAGGAAGACCTTTCTCTCTGTCTGTCTCTCTCTCACTGTCCACTCTGCCTGTCTGGAAAACAACAACAACAACAACAAAAAAAACCTTTTCCTTTAGCTGCTGTATTCAGATCCTAGTTAGAATAGTATGGGCATGTCTTTTACCTTTTGGGCTCAACAGATTGCACAACAGATTGTGTTTTTGTTTTTATTTTTTATTTATTTATTTTTTGACAGAGTGAACAGTGAGAGAGACAGAGAGAAAGGTCTTCCTTTTGCCATTGGTTCACCCTCCAATGGCCGCCGCGGCCGGCGCGTTGCGGCCGGCGCACCGCGCTGATCCGATGGCAGGAGCCAAGTACTTATCCTGGTCTCCCATGGGGTGCAGGGCCCAGGGACTTGGGCCATCCTCCACTGCACTCCCTGGCCACAGCAGAGAGCTGGCCTGGAAGAGGGGCAACCGGGACAGAATCCGGCGCCCTGACCGGGCCTAGAACCCGGTGTGCCGGCACCGCAAGGCAGAGGATTAGCCTAGTGAGCCACGGCGCCGGCAACAGATTGTGTTTTAAATGACCCTTATTTATTGACACATGTTGAATATTTCAAATTTAATACATGCCACAGCTGAGTTTATTCATTAGATGCAGGTTATTATTTTTAAAAGGGGGTGTGGCTTTTCTCTCCCTAGTTTATTATTAAAGCATTCTTCTGAGTCTGATTTCTTGCCGTCATCTCTGCAGTGATAATGTTAAAGCACTACTGGAGGTTTCTTCTGGTTTTCTCCTGCAGGCACTGTCCTGTGTGGTGATCTGTCCAGGGTGCAGCTGTGTGTTTTTGTGGGAGAAGCAGGGTTGATTGACTTGTCAGGAGGGCTCCCTCTTTTCTTCTTTTATAGTCAGCTTAGGAAATGGGAAGGAGAGAGTTTCAGCAAGAGCGAATTGGTGTCTTGCTGCTGCTGGAGGAACAAAGGACAGCATCGTGTTTTATTGTTTAGCTTCACCTCCTGTCAGAACCAAACCAGTTTTTGAGCCAGTACAGTGCCCCAATTTAAAATTTGCAAATAGTGGTTATTATTGAGTTATTGTTATTAGTGGTTATTGTTGAGTGTTCTCATGTTTCAGATGTTTTTAAAAGAGGTTATTATGTATTATCTCATTTAATCTTCCCTACAGTGGTGTATGAAATACATGTGAATAAGGGAGAGTTAATTGGCACAGAATCTCCTAAAGGTACTATATCCTTGCTACCAACATTGGAGACCTGGATGAAGCTCCTGGCTTCAGCCTGCCTCAGCACTGGCTGTTGCGGCCATCTGGGGAGTGAACCAGTGGATGGAAGATCGCTCTTTCTCTGTCTCTCCCTCTTTCACTGTAACTGTCACTTTTATACAAATAAACAGTCTTTTTTAAAATCTTAAGAAATCTACACCTTTTTACTTAGCAAATCTGTGTGTCAATATTCACCCTTGCTTTCAGTGTTCTCTTCTTTCTGCACATACATATTTCATAGCATTTGGGGAAGGTTAAATGAGATCATACATCACAGACTTCTAAGAGTACTTGGAACATAAGAAACTCAACAGATGGGAACTATACTAATAATTAGCATTTGGAAATTTCAAATTTGGGCCTCTGGACTGCCTCAAAACTTGTTGGGAAGGGGCTCAATGATGAAGGTAAATGTTTGTTGCAGTATTCATAGTAATGTTAGAGTAACATGTCCTCCTGTGGAAGACTGCATGAGCTGTGGGCAGCTCAACAATGTAGTTTTATGTGCTTGCAGGAAATGAAGATGCCAAACTAAATACCTTAGGATAACTGTCACGGTATATTAAGTAGAAGAAAACAGCAAGGTTTCAGAGAAGTTAGGAAATACAATTCCATTTTATTTGTCTTTTAAAGTTTATGTGTGTATTTTTACATGAGGAAGGGTTTAGAACAGGGGTAGGGGATGTCCAACCTGTGGGCTGTATAAAGCCCTCAAAATCGTGTGGTCTGGCCCTAACAAGGAAACCCCAGGTGGGACTTAAATTCAGTAAATCTCTAACAGGCTAATTTTTAAGTTGATAATTGTGTGTGTCGCATGAATGACGTAAGTATCTGGATGGCCCTTAGCAGACAAAAGGTTTCCCACCCTTGGTCTAGAAATGTGTGTGTATATATGTGTGTGTGTGTGTGTGTGTGTATATATAGAGAGAGAGAGAGAGAGAGAAAGAGACTTCAGAACATTCATGGAAATTGTGTATTATGAAAAAATTTTGCATGGATTTTGAAAGTCCTTTACACCAAAATAAACTTCTGACTAAAAGTTTATTTCTTTACTTCTTTCTTGTGTTTTTTTCATTCAGTATATTGTTTGTTGAGTGATGCTGTGGCTGGCCAGAAATTCTATTTTCCTTTTTTATAAAAGGTTTATTTATTTATTTGAAAGGCAGAGTTACAGAGAAGCTGAGGTAGAGAGAGAGAGATCAAGATCTTCTGTCTGCTGGTTCACTCTCACTCCCCCAGCTAGCCGCAATGGCCAGAGCTGCACCTTTCCGAAGCCAGGAGAAACCTCTGGGTCTCCGACGCAGGTGCAGGGGCCCAAGGACTGCTTTCCCAGGCCATAGCAGAGAGCTGGATTGGAAGAAGAGCAGCCAGGACTCAAACCAGCACCCATATGGTATGCTGGCACTGTAGGCAGCAGCTTTACCCACTGCGCCATAGTGCCAGCCCCCAGAAGCTGTAATTTCTGAAAAAGCATATTGCCTGTACAATTAAGTTGTTACGTTTTAGGAAGTAGGTAACAACTTCATAAATTTTTTCATTAAATGATCAAACAAGTGACTTGGTTATTAAAGTGCTATGTTCCGTCATTTGGAAAACTCATTTGTTTGTAACATAAAAAGTACAAGTAAAATGAGACACTGGTTAGTATAATGTGCTGGAGCCAGTATGATGCTACAAGAGAAATTATTTTCATTGGAGCGAAGCTAAGTCATCTCTGTCTGAGGTAGCCTTTCTTCGTGCAGGAGGAGAGAAGTTGATTGCATTGCTTTTATGTGGATCAGAAATGAAGTTGCATAGGTTCACTGTGAACAGAATGGCTTTTAATGGTGGGTAGCCCTTGATGTGTTCTCTCTTTTTCACATTTCAGGCAACTACAGGAGCAGCAAAGACAAAAGGAGCTGGAGCGGGAAAGGCTGGAGAGAGAAAGAATGGAGCGGGAAAGGTTGGAGAGAGAGAGGTTAGAAAGAGAAAGGCTGGAGAGGGAGCGACTAGAGCAAGAACAGCTGGAGAGAGAGAGACAGGAGCGGGAGCGGCAGGAGCGGCTGGAGCGGGAGCGGCTGGAGCGGCTGGAGCGGGAGCGGCAGGACCAGTTAGAGAGGGAGCAGCTGGAGTGGGAGCGCGAGCGCGAGCGCAGAGTCTCCAGTGCTGGTAAGAAGTTTGCAGACTGTTCTGTGTGCTCCTCCCAGGCTTGGATGATGTTTTTGGCCGTTACATACTAGAATATTCCACATTTGAGATACTTGGGATTAAGCAGTACAGCTTGAAGTTATGAAAAGTACACAGCAGTGACTGCTTTACTGTTTCTTTTTATTGTTTGGAGCCTTAAAGAAAGCTCTTAGAAATTTTTATTCTGGAATTCTAATTTTCTAGCTCCCTGGAAGTGGGCTATAAAGTGTGTGTTTTTATGTGGAATTTTTTATGTTGGATGAACTTGGAATATATTTCCCTTATGAAATTACTTAAATCGTCTCAAGTACCATATGTAGTGTTATAGTTCCATTCAGCAAGAAGTTTGCTTGATTATAGTCTAAAGTTGTTGAATGAGGAATTAAAACAGATGAAAAATAGCTGATTAAAAATTGACAAGTTATTAAAATGTATTTTATAGTATTGTGAAAGTTACTACATATGATGGAATTTATAGAAAGATATGAGTTAATATATGGCTGAAAGGTTGAGGTATTTTAGCATTCATTAAAATTGACACTAATTATAAGATTTAGCAATTTATTTCTTATATCAAAAGTTTTAGTGTGCACTGATTAAATATTGGTGGTTGGTTTATCATTTAAGTTAATACATTTTTTTTTACTGCCTAACTACTTCCTGTAGTTATGACTGAACAAAACTTTCTCACCAATAAGCATTGAATAGATTATTTGTCCTTTGTAGTAAATACATTGCCAGTTTTGCTATTTATTATTTTTTCTGTTTATGACTATTTATATGATTTTAATGTCCTGTTAGGGGACTAAATGTGGACCAAATAATAATTGAGACTACTACTATCCTCTTGTAAAAAAACAAATTAGTCAACTTAATTTATACATATTTCATTCTCTTCTGGATCTCAAGATGTATTTGCAAGTTAAAGTATAATTTTCTTGGGTGAAAATAGTTGTGTGCACATGTGCCTAATTCTCTGGTACTAACTGTAGTCTACATTTATGCATTTTGTCTGAATGCTGGTTTTGTGGCTTCACTAGCTCCCTTTTTCTCTCTCCCTTTTTATCCTGTCTCTTGCTGCTGCTTTCCACCTCTGTCCAGCTCCATCTCCAGACAGCTCCCTGTATAGCGCTCCACTTCCTGAGTATTCCAGTTGCCAGCCTCCTTCGGCACCTCCTCCATCATATGCTAAAGTCATCTCAGCTCCAGTGTCAGAGGCCACTCCTGATTATGCCGTAGTGACTGCTTTGCCACCTACTTCCACACCCCCTACACCACCACTGCGACACTCAGCGACACGTTTTGCAACATCTTTAGGTTCAGCCTTCCACCCCGTTCTTCCCCATTATGCTACAGTTCCTCGTCCTGTGAACAAAAACTCTCGACCTTCTTCTCCTGTGAACACACCCTCTTCTCAGCCTCCGGCTACGAAGCCCTGTGCCTGGTCTACTTCCAATTTTTCGCCCCTCCCTCCATCTCCTCCAATAATGATTAGCAGCCCCCCAGGCAAAGCTACTGGTCCAAGGCCTGTCCTCCCTGTTTGTGTTTCTTCTCCTGTGCCCCAAATGCCTCCATCACCGACAGCTCCCAATGGGCTGCTTGACTCTGTTACATATCCAGTGTCTCCACCGCCTACCTCAGGGCCAGCAGCTCCGCCGCCACCGCCACCGCCGCCGCCGCCGCCGCCACTGCCTTCCCTCGCATCACTCTCACACTGTGGATCTCAAGCTTCTCCTCCTCCAAGCACCCCTATTGCCTCAACTCCCTCATCCAAGCCTAGTGTTCTCCCTTCTCCCTCTGCAGCTGGCCCTGCCTCTGTTGAGACTCCTCTAAACTCTGTGCTGGGAGACTCCTCTGCTTCTGAGCCAGGCTTGCAGGCAGCCTCTCAGCCGGCCGAGACTCCAGCCCAACAGGGTAAGGCTTTCCTTATTGCTGCTTCAACTCATCACTTGAAATATTCCATGGCAGCAAGGTTGATTGCCTAGAAGACCGGTAGGGTGTTTGCAGTTGTTGAACATCTATATGCCATTGTGCCATGTTTTTAAAGTTGAAGTAGAAAGAATTTTTTCATTTTGTTGGATTAATTTAGCATTTGGAAATTTAATTTTGGGAGTTTCCAAATTGGACAAGTTTTTGGTATCTTCTGCAGTACTGTGAGAGTTGTTTTCTAGTATTCATACTGACAAATTTCTTCTCAATTTCAGTAGGGAACTTTCTCGATGCATTGGATCTACCACACAGTAAATACATGATCTAAGTTGTTTCCCTTTAATTTTGGGGGAACTTAGAGATCATATATTTATTGCCCAACTCTAGTCATTAGATTGGTCCAGAGTCACCCCGGAATGGTTCTGGTCTTGGAACCTGTTTCATTGTACCTTTCCTGTGTTGAGCAGCTTCCTGTGTTGGACTTTCAGGATGGATGTACCCTATGCCCTGTGTTGCATCCTGACTTTACAGGAGGAATAGAAAGGATGCCGAGCTTGGCATGTTCCTTTAAGGTTCCTATAGTCCAAAATTACAGGAAGTGGGCTGAAGGGATAGCTGAGAGAGAGCATCCTCTACAGGTATTCCTGCCCACCCACCCCCAACACACATACCTGGCTGTCATGGTAACAGGGAAGAGAGGTTATCTGTAAGTGGAGAAGGACCTGGCTCTGTAAATAAATAAGATGCATGGCAACCCTATTTTTATTTTGTAATTTTATTTATTTTTTAGAGGATTGATTTATTTGAAAGAATTACAGAGAGGGAGCATTAGAGATCTTGCATCCACTGGTTCACTCCCCAGTTGCCTGAATGGTCCAGGCTGGACCAGGCTGAACCCAGGAGCTTCATCCGAGTCTCCCACGTAGGTGCAGAGGTACCCAAGCACTTGGGCCATCTTCTGCTGCTTTCCCAGGCACATTAGCAGGGAGCCGGATTAGAAATGGAGCATCTGGGATTTGAACCTGTGTCCATATGGGATGCCGGCGCTGCAGTTGGGGCACTGCAGATGGCATCTTCAGCTTAATCAGCTGTGCTACCATGTGGACTCCTGAAAATTTCTTCCCTCATTCTAAAATAGCTCTATTTCCAACATTTAATTATTTTGAGAGCTATTTTGAGGTTTCCTTTGTAATAGTAAATTCCTTTATTCCATTGATTGTCAGCCCTGGCTCCACATTGGATCTAAATGTGTGGAATTTTTCTTGTTTTTTGTTTTTGCTTTTTTAAGATACTTAAGCCTGAGCCCATCCTTCCTTTATGTTTTTTTTTTGTTTTTTTTTTTTTAAGATTTATTTTATTTATTTGGAAGGCAGAGAGAGGGACAGGGAGGGAGGGAAACGGAAGCTGGAAGCTGAGCCGCACTGAAGCCAGCCGCCCAGGCTTCTTCCCTGTCTTTTAGAGCAGCTGGGACTCGGGCTGTGGGGGGGGGTGGGGCATGCAGGCGGCACCTTAATCTGCTATGCGCTGGGCCCCAACTCAACCAGTTTTGACTATAAATAACCAAATATCTTAATGATAGTAGAATTTATTGACTCAGCTATTAAGTTTTACATGGATTATTTGGTGTCTGCTTTTTCAAATGGCACTCACTTACCACTGCATACTAGAGTATTAGTGTACTAGGGGTTTTCTATGCTGTTTAACCTCTCTCCCAAATTTTATCAACATTTATTTTGTTTATTTACCAAGTCCTCATGCAAAAAAATCTGATTAGATAATCTGTTGCATAGTGCTGTTACTAAATCTCTAACATTTAAGTAAGTAGTTAAGTACATTTGGTCTTACATTTCTGTATCTTTTTAAAAGTAGTGTAGACTTTAAACATTGTGATAAACACTATGTAGTAAAGGTTTGAGTCAATGTAATGTCTACCTACCTTTCCAAATAGCAATAATTTGGCTTTCTTATTGATGGGTTTATTTAATATTTCTTTCTCTCAGGCATTGTCTTGGGACCACCTGCACCTCCCCCTCCTCCCCCCCTCCCATCAGGTCCTGCCCAGGCAGCGCTCCCTCCTCCCCCTGGACCCCCTCCTCCCCCTCCACTGCCTTCCTCTGGGCCTCCACCACCACCTCCCCCTCCCCCTCTTCCTAATCAAGTACCCCCTCCTCCACCACCACCTCCTGCCCCTCCCCTCCCTGCATCTGGATTTTTTTCCGGATCCATGTCAGAAGACAATCGACCTTTAACTGGACTTGCAGCTGCAATTGCTGGAGCTAAACTTAGGAAAGTGTCACGGGTAAATAATTGCACATTACTATATTCTTTTTTTTAGATTTATTTTATTTATTTGAAAGGCAGAGTTACAGAGAGAGAGAAGTAGGGTGCCGGGGATGGGGGGATGTCTTCCATCGCTGGTTCTCTTCCCAAATGGCTGCAATTGACTCAAATGCGATGGCCAGAGTTGAGCCAATCATGAAGCCAGGAGTTTTTTCCGGGTCTCCCATGTGGGTACAGGGCCTCAAACACTTGGGCCATTTTCCACTGCTTTCCTAGGCACATTAGTAGGGAGCTGGATTGGAAGTGGAGCAGCAAGGACTGGAACCAGTGCCCATATGGGATGCTGGTGCTGCAGCTCAGGGCTTTTAATCTGCTGTACCACAGCATGGGTCCTGACAATTCTTTCTAAATACCCAAAAGACTGGATTTACTGAAACCTATGCTATTAACTTATTTGATTTAAAAAATAGAAATAATTTAAGTTTACAGAAAAGTTGCAAGGATGATATAAACAACAGTATGAGAAACCTCGCAACATTTTACCAATACTTGGCTTATTTTTCTTTTCTTTTCTTTTCTTTTTTTTTTTTTTTTTTTTTTTTTTTTTTTTTTTTTTTGACAGAGTGATACAGTGAGAGAGACAGAGAAAGGTCTTCCTTTTCCGTTGGTTCACCCTCCAATGGCCGTTGTGGCCAGCACACCGTGCTGATCCGAAGCCAGGAGCCAAGTCCTTCTCCTGGTCTCCCATGGGGTGCAGGGCCCAAGTACTTGGGCCATCCTCCACTGCACTCCCGGGCCACAGCAGAGAGCTGGCCTGGAAGAGGGGCAACCGGGACAGAATCCGGCGCCCTGACCGGGACTAGAAGCCGGTGTGCCAGCGCCGCAGGCGGAGGATTAGTCTATTGAGCCACGGCACCGGCCGTAATGTCTCTTTAATTCACTTTAATCGGTGATCATTCCTCAGTTTTTTCTTTCATGATACTTAAATTTTTTAAGACAGATTTTTTTTTTAATCTTAGGTTTGGCTTGGTTTGGCTTGTCTTGAGTTTTTTCTTCAAGATTAGATTCGGGCTATACATTCTTTTGGGCATTAATACCACCAAGGTTAAATTGTATCCTTCTCAGATTATTGCCAGGGAAGACCTGTGATATTGTTTCATCCCATTACAAGTAATGCTGACTTTGGCAAAGTGTCACTAATGTACTACAAAGGCAGTGCTGTTCACTTTATTGGTTCTTAAGATTTAAGTATTTATTTGAAATTAATGCTGAAAAATCTTCTGTTTTCAATGTAATATTAATAAAATATGATCATTTAACAGTGACATTTACTATGTGTGTGTATTCTCATTAAGGTGGAGGATGCCTCCTTCCCCAGTGGAGGGAATACCATTGGTGTGAACTCAGTGTCATCTAAAACAGATACGGGTCGTGGAAATGGACCCCTTCCTTTAGGGGGTAGTGGTTTAATGGAAGAAATGAGTGCCCTGCTGGCCAGGAGGTGAGAAATTTCATTGCAGTGGACATATATAAAATTGAGAAAATTTTCATAATTTTATCCCAAATATGTAGATACAGTTCTTCCCTCTGAGAAGGAGTAGTTTGTATAATAAGAGTTAGATGATTTTTAAAATCTGATCTATTCCTTTCTAGGAGAAGAATTGCTGAAAAGGGATCAACAGTAGAAACAGAACAGAAAGAAGACAAAAGTGTAAGTGAAGGTAGAACACAGTTTAAGGTGTGAAATTACAGGACAGCTCATTCAAGAAATTAGAAATTGTATCAAAGGCTATTTAATATGAACAGACTTAGTGTGAACTCCTATTTGCTTATTTTTAACTATCCCAGTATTTGAGTCTTTTATTTATCAACTAGGAAAAGCACCACAGTTTAAACCTATAGAGTTAATTCTGTTCCTAAGCCTGACTTTAAACAAGTGGGTGACTTTGAGTTTTTTTATGTCTCAGGGTCTCAGTTTCCTTGCATTAATTTGAAATAAAGAAGTTAGATTGCATCAGTAGTTTTCCCACATCCTCTGGAGCTCTGTGGTTTTTAGCTGTGCCCTTGACATGTGTAACCTCATGCCACCTCCATAATTCACTGCAATTGAACCAACTCATCTCCGTGTGTGTGTGTAGTTAGTGTTCCATAAATAATACCACTGTTATCCCTGTGTTCCTCAAATCTGTCTCCTACCTCTAGCTTCAAAGCATTGGCTTGTACAAGTTCTTGGTGAGAACATGTGTAGTAAGGAAAGGAGCTAGGGAGAAGGGGGAAATGTTGGGAAGGAAAGAGAAGAAAGAAGTCTAAGCTGAACTGGAAAGGGGAGAGGACACAGGAGGGAATGGGCAGGGAACAGCAGAAAGAATATTGAAAGGGGAAGTATAATATGCTGAGTGTGTCCCCAGCAGGTTTCTAGGGGATGTGATATTAATATGTGTGTCTCTGTGTTTAGGAAGATTCAGAGCCTGTAACTTCTAAGGCCTCTTCAACAAGCACACCCGGTAAGTTGAAGAGAAATACTTTAACATTTATAAACTTCCTCTAAATAGTAATCCTCACCGATTAAGAATACCCCCCTTTTCCCATGTTTGAACCAAGTAACTGCTTACTGAAATGTTAAAGTTCTCTGTTTAGACTTAAAAGCACTGACTTCTGTCTTTTGAGATACCAGAAGCCCTTGCTGCTTTCTTCCTGATACTAGGAGATCTACTAAACTTTTTTTGTGTGTGTCTCTTTGAAAACCATAATTTTCACATATTCTGGATATATTATTATTGATGATTTGAGGTTATTTGCCAAAACAAGGAAAATACATTATTAGATGAAAGGGAAGTATTTTTAGTAATCAGTTCTTAAAGGTAAAAAGTGAACATGTTAGCATTGCAGTCTGTTCGAAAACATTCTCAAATTGAGAAGGTTATACTTTTAACCATTCACTTGAGTGATGTCTAATCAGGGTAATAAAGCTTCTAACTTGTAAGCTTAAAAAAGCTTAAAGCTTTTGGGAAATGTTCTTGGATTCAGTGAAATTTCTGATATTGGGAACTCTTGGGCTTAGAATATATATTACTGGCTGGTACTGCGGCTCACTTGGCTAATCCTCCGTCTGCGGTGGAGGCACCCCAGGTTCTTGTCCCGGTTGCCCCTCTTCCAGTCCAGCTCTCTGCTGTGGCCCAGAAAGCCAGTGGAGGATGGCCCAAGTGCTTTGGCCCTGCACCCGCATGGGAGACCAGGAGGAGGCACCTGACTCCTGGCTTCAGATCATCACAGCTCGCCGGCCGTGGCGGCCATTTGGGGGATGAACCAACAGAAAAAAAGGAAGACCTTTCTCTCTGTCTCTCTCTCTCTCACTGTCTAACTCTGCCTGTCAAAAAGAAAAAAAAAAAAAAAGAATATGTAGCACTTACGATATTAACAAAGTATATTTTACTGGAGGTAGTTAGTACTGTATCCCAGCAGAGAATATGAAATTGTTACAAATATGTATGATTTCTTCATATTTGATTGAAGTCTTTGGAGTTAGACTGTCTCCCTCCAGATCTATTTTGGAGTGATGTGACAAAATGGTGAATTAGTATTTAAGTGGTCCTTAGGAAGCCATTTTAGAGAAATGCCTGTATAATTCTACATATTTTTATTTAGAGACTACCAGTTGCCTCTAGGGTTCCATTTCTCACAAAATATACTTGTGTTTTTGTTATTATAGATCCCGCCCTCCCCAGCCCTCAGTCTGAATAGTTGCGTAGTGACTTTGCAGCGTCCGATTGCTGTATTATCATTAGCGTGACTCCCTTGTGAGCCAGTTCTCCTCAGCCCACCTGTGTGCTCTGAATAGGTCTCACATTGTGTTGTCAGTTTGTGTTATCATGAGGAGCTCACTGGTTTAAGACTTGCTTATTTTAGCTTTACCTTTCTTGTAAGCCCGAATTGCTTGGATATGCTATTATTAGGACCATAGGTATTTTAGATCTGAACTATATAGTTTTAGAAATTTTAGAATATGATTACTGCAGATAGATTTTCTCCAAGGAGGGGGAAATAATTTTTATACAAATTTGCCCATAGTTAGAAAAAAATTCCTGAGTTCCCTAAAGGTTATCCATAAATCTTCAGTTAAGCACTCCTTATCTACTATACAATCCCCTCATTCAAAACATGAAAAACTAAAGCATGAGTTCTGTGTGTGTATGTGTGTGCCATATGTAATTAAAAACTCATTCAGAAGGGCTTGGGGCTTGTTTTTCACTTGTTTCATTCAGTTCTTTGGTGGTTTTTGGTTTTGTGTGTGTGTGTGTGTGTGTGTGTGTGTGTGTGTGTTGGGGGGTGGGTAGGCAGACAGCTTCCATCTGCTGATACTTTCCACAAAAATGCCTAGAACAGCTCAGGTTGGGCTGGGGCTGAATCTGGGAGCCAGGAACTCAAAACAGGTCTCCTGAAAGGGTGACAGGAACCCAATTACTTGAGACCCTTGAACATTAGCAGGAAGTAGGAATCAGCCAGTAGCCAGAGTCAAGAATCCAACCCAGGTACTCCAAGTGTGTGAAATGGGCATCTTAACCACCAAACCAAATGCCCACTCCTTCATTCAGTTTTTAAAATTGTCAGACACTTAGTAGCACCACCACCACCACCACCACCCCAAAAAGAAAGATACAGGCATCAAATACCAAAAACTCAACAGTCTGATTGCACAAGTGAAAGTTAATCTTTTTAGCCATGTGTTGACTACTAACTAGTGTCTCAAAGAGAGAGGGGATCATAAGGAAACAGCTGAGCCACCTTTGTGGAGAAAAATATTTTACAGTGCCTTGGAATATCTAGTTTCAGCCAGTAGGGATATCATGAGCAAAAGTACAGAGTTGAAGACAAATGAGAAGAGAGTTGGAAATAGAAAGTAGATTCACCTGTCTAGAATGGAGAGTTCTTTTTTAGGGGGTATTGGCAAAATAATTTGGAAAAATGAGAAACAAAAATGTTGAGAACTTTTTATGCAAAGATCAGAAGTAAAATATTTTTATCATGCAAGTATTGAGTTGTCAATGAGCTGAAACTGTTTTGGGCACATTAAAATGGTACTTGTGAGCAGTGTGACATAGAATTGAGGAGGACTGAGAAGGAAATCAGTTGGGAAGCGCTCTACTGCTGCAAGTAAAGACCTGTGTGTTTCCAAAGACCCTCTGAAGGTAACCCCACCTCTGCCCTTCCTCCCGAAACATGCCTGAGGCTCCGTACAGAGAAGGCCTTGTTCCCTCTGCTCCCTTAGAACTGAACTGAACAGAACAACTCTTCCTCAGAGCCACATGAGCCCTTATGAGATTCAAAGATGGGAGTGGGATTTTGACCTAGTGATTAAGGCATCAGTTATGATGCCTGTGTCCCACAACAGATTGCCAGATTGCCAGGGTTTGATACCTGACTCCAGCTTCCTGCTAATGCAGGAGGCAGTGATGAGGCCTCAAGTAAGTTTTGGACACCTACATGGGAGGCCTGGCTTGCATTCTCAGCTCCCAGCTTCAGTCTTGACCCGGTTCTAGACATTGTAGTTATTTGGGGAGTGAACTAGTGGGCGAGTCTTGGTCTTGGTGTCTCTGTGTCTTTTTCTCTCTCTCAAATTAAGTGTAAATACCTTAAAGAGAGAGAGATTAAAAGTTGGCTCTGGTTTGGCTGATTGACAAGGGCCCTCCATACCTGCTTCACTCTGTCTGCTTTGGAAGTACTACCTAACCTTCCCACCTGCCTCTTTGGTGACAGTGTCTCACAGATACTCCCCTCCATGTCCAGTTATCTCTATTTTATTCAGAACTTCCCTCTTTTTACTTACTCAGCCTGCGATCTATCAGTGGGATATGTTTGTTATTCCATCTTTCCTGGACCTCATCATGTTCCCTGGCCAGATCTGGAACTTGCACCACCACGGTGGTCACTGAAAGAATGTTTTGGCTGTTAGAATACGGAAGAAAGGAATAAAAAGTAAAACGAAAAAGGAAGGAATTGGTTGAATGATTGATGCTGAGTAAAATACTATCAGTGATAATTTTTTAAGATTTCATGGCTGAATTCCTGCATGCAGCAGAAATATGGAACCAAAAGCAGTACATCCCCTGAGAATTTGAGTTTAGTTTTGCATTTGTGTAGTCTGAACAGATTACAATCTACCTAAGTGAGAATGTACAGAAGCCAATTGAGGGACTTTGTCAGAACTTGGAACCATTTCTTAGTGCAGTGGAATCACAACTTGTGGCCCAAATGAGAATCTTTCCTCCATGATAGGATTCCAGTTAGTCATCTGGAGTGGCTAGTGACAGCACCAGTGAGTTGTCAGTCCATATTAGAAAAACAGTACAAAGCACAATGCATGGCTGACAAGAGTGGACTTAACTTATTTAACTGGAGTTGTCTGCTGAGTTCCAAGAATTAATTGTTTAAGAATCAAGGAAGTACCATTGAATTACATGATTCTGAAATTTATTTTGAGTTGTGTGAATTTTTTACCCAAGGATGATTTGAATTTAGGTGAAATGTTGAGGCTGGCATTTGACGCAGGAGGTTAAACCACAGCTTGCAACACGACATCTCATATTGGAGCACTGGTTTGAATCCTAGATGCTCCACTTCCCATCCAGCTCCCTGCTATAAAGTGCTTAGAAAAGTAGCAAAAGATGGCTCAAGTCCTTGGACCCCTGCCGCCCATGTGGAAGTCCTGGCCAGAGTTCCTGGCTCCTTGTTTGAGCCTGGCCCAGTTCCAACTGTTGCAGCTGTTTGGAGAGTGCAGCAGTAGATGGAAGATATCTCTGTCTCTCCATCTCTATCACTCTGCTTTTCAAATAAATAAGTAAATCTTTAAAAAAAAAAAAATGAAATGAAATATCGAAGTACATGAAGACTTTATACATTATGCCTTTTTTTTTTTTTTTTTGACAGGCAGAGTGGATAGTGAGAGAGAGACAGAGAGACAGAGAGAAAGGTCTTCCTTTTGCTGTTGGTTCACACATTATGCCTTTTGTTTGGCCTTTGGCACTTAAAATAGTGTAGGTAATGCTGTCCCATTCTAATTCCTCTAAACTATCCTAATTAATAAAAATTACCCTCCCCTTATTATATCTGTATTAAAGAAACCTGTTTCCTTCTGGTTTATAAAATTATAACATTTTAGATTTAGTGACCTAAGTTTTTTTCTAGAAAATGTCACAGTTACTTATTTAAGGTCTGAAACTGTGCAAATTAAAATCCTTAAAGATTTTAACTAAAATTTTACATTTTAAATCATTATTTCTATATAAAGCAGGTATAATGGTATTTAGTATTTTGTTGTTTTATAATAACTCCAGGAGCATATTTTTGATGTTTACTTCTTATTTTTAAAGAACCAACAAGAAAACCTTGGGAAAGGACAAATACCATGAACGGCAGCAAGTCACCTGTCATTTCCAGGTAACGGCTTTTTTCCCCCTAAATCTTACATTATGTTGTATCTCAAAAAAGGTTAATAACACATATATTTTTTTAAACAAACTAGTTTATTCTTTCAAGGAAATGAAACAGCAGGGGCTGAACCAGGAAAGAGGCAGCCCTGGCCACATTCCGTGCCCTAAGCAGGGGTCTGAGATGAGGCCAGGCCAGACCAGGGCTCCATGTGCCACTGGGGAGGGGACAGGCCCCAGAATAGGACTTTGTTCTGTTAGCAACAGGAGCCGCCCACAGCTCCACCTGCCCAGTGTGTGGCCCTTCTGCCCTAATAATACATATCTATTTTAGAGAAAGTTTTACCCTATATTTATTACTCAGATTGTCTGGAACTTAAGATCGCTTTTATTTTTCACAGTTCATTTATTTTGAAAAATTCATAATTGAAAAAAAGTTAGAGGGGGACCAGCACTGTGGTGTAATGGGTAGGACTGCCTCCTGCATTGCCCGCATCCCATATGGGCACCAGTTCAAGTCTCGGCAGCTCCATTTCCAATCCAGCTCCCTGCTGATCTGCCTGGGAAAACAGTGAAAGATGTCCCAAGTGCATGGGCCCCTGCATCCACATGGGAGACCCAGATGAGGCTCCTGGCTTTGTCCTGGCCCAGCCCCAGCCGTTGTGGCCATTTGGGGAGTAAGCGAGTGGTTGGAGGATATCTCTCTCTGACTCTGCCTCTTTCTCTGTAACTCTTTCAAATTAATAAATATTTAAAAAGAGAAAAGAGCAGTATAGCAAACACCCACAAATCCATCTCCTAGGTTCACCAGTTGTTAACATTTGACCACATTTGTCTTAGCTATTTACACTTGTGTCCCCCCCAGTAGTTGATGAGCAATTTGCAAATAAGTGCTGCTTCAGCCCAAATGCTGTAGCCCTGGAAAGGACCAGAACATCTCTTGTACAGTCAGAATATCATCAGCACTCTGAAGGAAATAGAGCATTGAGCATTATTAATATTATCTCATAGTATATATTCATGTTCCTGTTTGAAAGACTTTTTTTTGGCCCACAATCAAAACTTTACTGAAAAACTAACATCAAAATAGGGGATAATTTGTATGCCTTATAAAGTCAAACAGTTAAATTATCTTAGTAGATTCACTAGAATCACTGAACTTATGATAAAGCTTTCCGAAAGAAAACACAAATCCAGGAAGTTGTTTTGGTCACTAGTGTTACTTTCTTCTTAAAGGAACGGCCTTCTGTGAGTTGGGCCTTTCCTCCTGTAGGCTGGCACAAAACTGTGTAACCACCTACACAAAGAACCACTGTCTGAGCATGGCTGAAAACCATGGTGATCTTCTATCAACCTGGGCATTTTACATCCATAAAATAAGAATTCAAACTTCGAACTAGCCGTTTCTTTTTATGTTTCTTCTTTTCCTCCTCCAAGGAGGGATGGAGGTAAATCTCTAGTCAAGGGCATGTTGACAGTCCTCTGACTGGCTCTTGCTACTCCCTTAGCGACAGCACGCAAGCGTGAATGACATGTTTCATACTTTTTTTTTTCTGATATAATTTTTGGAAGAAACTTCTTATGTTTTACACTGAAATGTCAATTGAAAAGACTAATTTTTGAGAGCACAAAATAATAAAATTAAACCTTTGAATTTATAGGTTTATTTCTCCATCTCAGTTGGAACATCTAATCAAGTTAGAAAAGCTAGTGCCCCACATTCCCTCGGACTTACCCCTAAGGGTAAAAACTTGCCATAGGACTCCAAATCTCAATAAGTTGGCAGGTATTAATGCTATCTTAACTAGTTAAAACGATCAGTTTAAGTTCATAACTGATCGTAAAGATAGGATTAAGTGTCAGAGGGATCACATAAATAAGACCAAGTGTCTGCTAATAACAATTGATAGAATTAAAAAGGAGAGAATGATCCAACATAGGAAGCAGGACACACAGCAGACTCATAGAATGACAACTGCCCTAAATAGCACTCTGGCCTCAGAATCAGCCCTTAAGGCATTCAGATCTGGCTATAAAGCCCATGAGAGCATTTCAGGCATGGAAAGCCAAGATACTGTGGCAAAAAATGACCTACATCAAAGATCTCTGTGAGTGAGATCCCAGTGGAAAGAAGGGGCCATCAAAGAAGGAGGTACCTTTCTCTGAAGGGAAGAAAGAACTTCCACTTGGATTATGCCTTGTCTAACTAAGGTCGGACTTTGAGAACTCAAGAGGCTTCCATAGCCTTGGCAGCTCATGACAAGAGCCTCAGGTGATCACTAATGTCATAAATAAGAGTGTCAATTGTCTGTGCTCTTGCTTCCCATGTAGGACCTCTGTCCTTAATGTGTTGTACTATGAGAATTAATGGTAAAACTAGTCTTCATACACTACTTTATACTTTGTGTGTCTGTGTGGGTGCAAACTGTTGAAATCTCTACTTAGTATAGAGTCGATCTTCTGTATATAAAGATAATTAAAGATGAATCTTAATGAAGAATGGGATGGGAGAGGGAGTAGGAGATGGGATGGTCTGGGGGTGGGAGGGCGGGTATAGGGGGAAGAGCCACTATAATCCAAAAGTTGTACGAAATTTATATTTATTAAATAAAGGCTTTCTATAAAAAATAAATAGTAAAAAAAAAGAAGAAGAAGAAGAAGAAAGAAAAACTAGTGCCCCAAAGCAATAGGAGTTAATGTGGGTTTCTACATGTAGTTTGTGGGCACAGTTAAGCAGATTCAATATTCCTTAGCTAGACATTTTAGTATTGTGACTAAGTTTGTACCACAGGTACATTGGTGAAATGTTTCCTTGCTTTATGAGACAATTTAAAGGGTTCATGTATTTCCCGGGGGAAAAAAGGTATGTATGTAGATACTTAAAAAGTGTTTGCCTTTTTCTTTCTATTTGATGTGGTTTTTGCCTCATGAAAGGCAAACTTGACTCATTATAGAAACCTAATAAAGTAAACAACAAGAATAGGCCTTATATTTTCACAAATTGGTTCCATGTTAGCCTAAATCTAAATTTGGGTTTGTGTGGTACTTTCTGCTGGTAGGAAAGATTTCTGACAATGCAGTTGTGTAAGTTCCATAAGGAAACCTGGCTTTTTATACCATAAGCTTTTTAGTTCCTAAGTGACTGAAAGATGATCATATTTGACTTCTGAAGAAAATAAAGGAAATTGCTTTTGGTGGACTTTTTTTTTTTTTCAATACAGTGGAAAACTTGCACATGTATATTTCTCAGATACCTACCTGAGTTGACCTTCTAACACATCTCTAATGGTTGTCACAGATTTTCTTCAGTAGCCCCATTATGAACCTTAACTTACCAAGAACATGACAGGGAACAGAGGTGTGGTGTGCTGCTTGTCCTTTGAAGATGTAAAATGTGACAAGAATTCTTTCTCCTCTGTCACCACTCTGCAGCTTCGTTACTAGGAATTCCATAGTGAGCTGACCTCAAGCTAGCATGAATCTATATGAAGTCCTGGAACATGCAAGAGGTTCCTCAGGTGGAATGTGTTCCTTGCTGTGATTGGTTTTGTTTAGTGAGGGAAAGAATATTCTTTGAGGGTTATTTTCAGACTAAGCAAGTTTTGTAGGTGCTGCAAGGATCACCAGATTGAAAAATGTTTTTATATAGATTAGTCATATCTTGGTCACTAGTATCCAGTAGTACATTGTAATCATGTTCCAAATCTATTAGATGGTTTCTCTCACTTTCCCAAAGTAGAAATTGTGGCACCCCTGTTTCCTGATGTCTCATACACCTTTTAATAGTTTTGATCCAACCCCCTAATACATGTGCCCTAATGTTTCACCAAAAGCAGTTTTAATTATGAAAGAATTTTAAAATATAGTTAAAAGACTAAGAACTGTATTGGTTTTCTTCCTAAGTTGTCTCTGCTGTTCTTTCTGAAGGCAGATATATGGAGCATTTCACATTTTATTTAAGTATACCTCATCTTTGCATTGTTTTGCAAGGACCTGTTTCTCTTCAGAATATTTATGCCATGATTATATTAGTGATAGGGTGAATTAATGCCCTATAGTAAATGAGACAATTCATTATGCTATTTTTAAGTGAAGATGCCAGGTAGAAAAATAATAGCAAGAATATTGTCATTAAAATGGTTTAAACTATGTAACATTGAAAAGTTTGTGAATTAATTCTTATGGTTTTTATCAAGAGTTTACAAATCTTGTATTTATGATGGGAAGAAAAGTGCTTTATAAAATGCCTCCTAAGAAATGTTAATTTTGTATACTTAGAGCTACCATGACTTTGTATCATTTAACATTTTGACTCTGATAGAAATGTCTTTGTGTTTTGATACTTACTGAATCTTTATGGCAGGTAGGTTTTGTTCATGTTTTTTATTTTCTGTAATCTTCAAGTAAACAGTATCTCACTTGGCTAAAATTGGTCTCAAATATCTTTTTATTGGGAAAATGATTATTTTAAGAAACTAAAGGACTTCAATTCTTGTTTTGTTTGCTATGGCTAAAAATCTGTAAAACAGAGCATAATGAGAATTTTTTTAAAGTTTTATTTTATACACCTTTAAATGGTTTTTCCCCTTCATAGACGGGATTCTCCAAGGAAAAATCAGATTGTTTTTGACAACAGGTCCTGTGATTCATTACACAGGTATCATCCTGCTGTGGCTTTGTGATTTGACACTTTTAAATAACATGTTCAGGATAGGGCTGAGCTTTTTCTACCTGGATTGGTAATCACCACAGGAGATATTTAGGAAGATTGAATCTTTCATTTTTAGCTTTATTTTGGACACACACTTGAAAAAAATCCTGTTATTATTCTATAATATTACTCTATAATTGGATTAGGGTAAATATGAAATGGTAAACATCAGGAATAAGAAGATGGGAATCTGAGGCCACATATATGAGGAGACTTCAAAAAGCTCATGGAAATTGAATTAGAAGATATATTTATTTGAGTACAAACAAGTGAAATCCATGAATAGTTATTTTTTTTCTCTCCCATAATACATATTTTCCATGAACATTTTGAATACCTGGGCTTTTAGTAGCTTCAGCATTTTCTTTTAAAGGCTGTTCTCTTTAGGATTGTGAGACAAGGCTTTTAAAAAGTGGAATAGAAGATCTTGTTCTGTTTGTTACTGGAACCCAGAGTGTTGTTGTTTACATTGTGTCCACAGTTGTGAATAATTTATTCTTTGTGGAAAATTTCTGTATTCTGAATACTTTGTGGTATGCTGAGTATCTTTTAACAACCTGAGCTAACATCCTGAGCAGATTATCTGTTTCTAGGATGAGCCCTACTATGCCACTTTTTAATTTTTAATTAAGAGCACTTAAGATGTAAGCCATCGCTTTCTTAATTAAAAAAAAATGACAACAATACTTGTGCTTTTCCACTCATTGTAGAATGAGCTTTGCAGAATAGGGTTTTAAATATTGTGTAGCACAGTCATTTTATAGACATGATGTCTAGAGGCAGCATCCTCTTCATCACGTAGTAAAACTCTTGGAGAAAACCTCGTAGTTTGTCATCAGTTATGGTAAAAATCCATAGGTTAGAAATAACTGTATTCATGTTATTGTATGTGTCTGTTTTTAAAAATACACATCAAGTCTACTGGAAATGTGGATTAAATAGAAATGGAGGAAATGTCTATGGCCTATAGTAAGGAGTTCTGACATTGAACTCTTTGGCCAGGTTCTTACTTGCTTAAGTTATTTTCATGCCATTGATTATCAAAATATTTGATAGGTTTATTTTGTCAGGAACTTAAATCTCTATAAGATATTTATGTTGCAGTAGTAAAACTTTCCTGCCATTTTTCAGGTGGTTTCATTTTTCTGAATGAAAGATTTATTTAGTACATAGAGAAAAAGAACTGCATTTAACAAAGAGATTTTCTATAGTACATCTTCTCAGTTACCTTGCTACTTTTACACAAAGTGCTTGCTGGGATAATGTTCTTGATGAGCTTAAAAAAAAGAAGTGGTGATTACTGTATTCCTTCAGTATGAAAAGTTCCCCCCTTTTGAGTTAATTCTCATGGTGGTGGTGGTGGTGGTGGTGGTGGTGATGGATTGCATGTTAGCATGAGTTAAATTTTTAAAAAATTGCATGCTTCCACAAGTGTTTATTATATAACAATAATATCTTAATTGTTCAGTAAATATGAATGTATTGTATACTGCCTGATTAAGTAGCAAACCATAGTTGTCCACACGAATTTGAGGTATTTTTTTATATAACCTAGGAGAAAATAGCTAGCTTGTTAGTCCACTTACATGTGAAAAAAGAAAAACAGTAATTGGATAATTTAATTCTGGAGAGCTGAAATAGAGAACATAAGTCTATGAATGAACAGTGTGTCAGTCTTCAAGAATATTCACTAAATCTGACTCCTCCAGAGCACCACGGCTTGCCTGTTACAGATCTCAGTGAGTCTGAAGTGGCTGTGGAATTTAGTAGTCCTACCGAGCTAGGTCAGAAGCTATATCCTCGTAAGAAGAAAGGGAACACTTTCATAGACATCTTCTGGTTCCTTCAAGTGCCTAACTCAGTACTTATGGAATAAAGGTTTCTGAACATTATTATCTTCCCTTGTTCATATAAACAAATACCTAATAAAGTAGAATCGGTTGACTTCATAACAGTCTTTTAAGCAGTAATAAGTTTTGCTACTAAAGCAAATTAACTCAGTGTTTTATTTTCAAGAACAATGCCTATGGGTTTTTATATCTTGTAAGAATTATGAAATTATAACTTTGAAAAAGTTACACTTACTGGGTCTCTGTTCAAATTTCTAATGTTGGTGCTCTGCAAAATTGAAAGCAAATTATTTGACTCTGGTTTCTAAGTGATGGATTTGCGACCCTTACAGAGTGGCCTCTTGCTGTACTATACCAGGAAATAGAGGAGTAGGAATATTCAATTAAAACTCTAGGTCATCTACTGAAGATTTTCCCGCTGCCAGAACTGGAGAGGGAGCATGACTGATGTATTTAGTATTAAAACTTTTGCTTAAAATATACCTAATCCCCAAGACATTTTGTCAAACAGAATTTTTAATAGAACCTGAACTCTTGAAAAGTCTAAGAACTGGCAATCTGCTTCTTGTCCAGCATTTTCTAAACAGAATAAGCTTATGAAGTAGTTAACCTGAAACATAAGTTTCAAATGATGTCACCATAAAAACTTCATAGGGAAGTGGCCAGATAGCCAATGGATATGAATATAATTTAACTAATAATCATTTTCCAACATTGTTGCTTGTCTTAGTGCTTCAAATGGAATATAGTACATACAAAGAAATGATGCTTACTAAAATATTTCCATCCTGCAAACAAGGCACAGAATTTGTAAACTGATTTGTTAGAACAAAATATTCAAGTCTATATTTTTCCTCCCATTGACCTGTCAGCTATTTAGTAAATAATGTAAAATTTCAAAGAAGAAAAAAAAAAGATTGTGCTAATGAGCCTCCGGTGTTTCAGCTGGCCTCTTCATCACTGTCTTGATCAACATGCCACAGTTACCTGGTTACCCGCCTCATGCTCAACGCTGTCTCCTGCTCTTTACTGAAGAAGTCTCGCCATCTTGTTACCTTTTTCTAGTTTCTTGATAAATAATTGAATATACTAAGCATTTTCTGTTTTATGTTCTAATCAGTCCAACAGTTTTGACAATTAAATTTTAATACAATGTGTTATTTAAGAAACGTATTTGAATGTGGTGTTGGGTTGGTTGATTTGCAGTTACTTATAAACATTAATTATATTAAGTGTAATTGACCTGTCCTGGAAATTTCATTTGTACAGACCAAAATCTGCACCCTCATCACAGCCCAGTGCCAATGGAGTCCAGACAGAAGGACTTGACTATGACAGACTGAAGCAGGTGGGTGCCCAGTGATGGCTTTTCTTCCTGTCTGCTTGTTTCTTTTTAGAAGATACCTAGTATTCATACATTTGACATGGGTCCTGGGTGTACTTTGAAAGAACATAGAGTTAAGGCCGGCGCCGCGGCTCCCTAGGCTAATCCTCCGCCTTGCGGCGCCAGCACACCGGGTTCTAGTCCTGGTCAGGGCGCCGGATTCTGTCCCGGTTGCCCCTCTTCCAGGCCAGCTCTCTGCTGTGGCCAGGGAGTGCAGTGGAGGATGGCCCAGGTGCTTGGGCCCTGCACCCCATGGGAGACCAGGATAAGTACCTGGCTCCTGACATCGGATCAGCGCGGTGCGCTGGCTGCAGCTCACCGGCCGCGGCGGCCATTGGAGGGTGAACCAACGGTAAAGAAAGACCTTTCTCTCAGTCTCTCTCTCACTGTCCACTCTGCCTGTCTAAATAAATAAATAAATAAATAAAAAGAAAAAACATAGAGTTAAAATACTCATGTAGATTAAACAGTGGTTGTAGTAGCTCTGAATTAATTTTCAAATCCTTATTTCTTATTCACTCAGTTGGCCTCAAGTCTCAACAGTGGTGCAGCATGGACGGAGTTCCATAGTATGGTGTGCTCATAAAAAATATAGATGCAAGGGCATGGGATGCAATTGTAAGAAGGCAGTGGGCTTCCACTTTTCACCTAACGTATTGGCAAAAATGGGCCCAACAAATCTGATTTTGGCAAGAATGAGGAAAATAGGCACTCTCATGTACTTCTGCTTTCTAGACACAGTTTGGGGAAACTGAAGCCCTTAAAAATAGATTTCTTACCTTTGAAACTACCAGTTTCACTTCCAAGAACTTCATGCAAATAAATGTATGCAAAATATTATAGAAGTATCCAAATAGGGGTATATAAGAGTCATAATTTACAATTGTGAACACTTGTCCATTTTTAGGTGAAATAAGTAACGCAACAGATATGTATGGCTGACTCGGTTTTATAAAAGAAAAAATAGAGGCTGGCATTGTGGCATAATGGGTAAAGCTGCCGCCTGCAGCACCAGCATCCTATATGGGTGCCAGTTCGGGTTTCTGCTGCTCTACTTCTGATCCAGCTCTCTGCTATGGTCTGGGAAAGCAGCAGAAGATGGCCCAAGTCCATGGGCCCCTGCACGCATGTGGGAGACCTGGAGGAAGTTCCTGGCTCCTTGCTTGGATCGGCATAGCTCCGTCCATTGTGGACATCTGGGAAGTAAGCCAGTAGATGGAAGTCTCTCTCTCTCTCTCTGCCACTTTGTAACTCTGCCTTTCAAATAAATCTTTAAAAATAAATAAATAGAAAATATTATCTATGATTTGGATACATATGCATGATATTTAATACCTGTGTACTCAGAAAAAAGTAATGGCAGCTGAAGAGATTTTGAGTTTTAAAATATTCCTGAAAAGAAACAAAATAGGTTTTTTAGGTAAATTTAATTTCTACACTGCAAAGCTGTTTAAAAAGTTAAATTGAGTTACATAATTTTAAAAAGCATGTGGTCATTAATAATCAAGTCTTTATTTTGCTGTATAAACATGAAATGTTTTTTTGTTTTTTTTTGTTTTTTTGTTTTTTGTTTTTGACAGGCAGAGTGGACAGTGAGAGAGAGAGACAGAGAGAAAGGTCTTCCTTTGCCGTTGGTTCACCCTCCAGTGGCCGCCGCGGCCGGTGCACTGCAGCCGGCGCACCGCGCTAATCCGATGGCAGGAGCCAGGTACTTATCCTGGTCTCCCATGGGGTGCAGGGCCCAAGCACTTGGACCATCCTCCACTGCACTCCCTGGCCACAGCAGAGAGCTGGCCTGGAAGAGGGGCACCGGGACAGGACCGGCGCCCCGACCGGGACTAGAACTTGGTGTGCCGGCGCCGCAAGGCGGAGGATTAGCCTAGTGAGCCTAGTGAGCCGCAGTGCCGGCCATGAAATGTTTTTATGAATAGAACAATTAAGTTTTTCTTGTAATGTGCAATATTAAATCATATAATTCAAAGTAATCTTTCCAGAGGTAGCTATTAATTTTCACCTGTTAAAACTCTTTGTCATATTCCGTTTAGTTTTGGATCCATAGGGTTGTTTTGTTTTTTTTTTTTTTTTTTTTTTTGAGAGGCAGAGTTAGAGTGTCTTCCATCTGCTGGTTCACTCCCCAGGTGGCCACAATGGCCAGAGCTGAGCCAGTCAGAAGCTGCTTCGGCTCTCCCATGCAGGTGCAGGTGTACAAGCACTGAGCCATCTTCTGCTGCTTTCACAGGCCATTAGCAGAGAGCTGGGTCAGAAGTGGAGCAGCTGGGACTCAAAACAGGGAATGCCGGCACCGCTGACGGAGGTTTAACCTACTCTACCACAGTGCCAGCCCCAGCTCCATTTACCTTTGGATCCATAGTTCTTTTTATTTTTTTAAAGGTTTATTTTATGTATTTGGAAGGCAGTGGGAGAGAGATCTTCCATCTGCTGCTTCAATCCCCATATGGCTGCAACAGCTGGGGCTGTACCAGGCTGAAGCTAGGAACCTGGAACTCCACCTGTGTCTTCCACATGGGCGGCAGGGGCCCAAGCACCTGGGCCATCATCTGCTGCTCTGCTGCTTTCCCAGGCACATTAGCAGGGGGCTGGACCTGAAACGGAGCAGCCGAGCCTCGAACCAGTGCTGACATATGATGCCAGTGTCTCAGGCAACAGCATAACCCCCTGTGCCACAACACCAGCCCTGAATCCACAGTTTTGTTTTTTGTTTTTTTGTTTTTTTGGTTTTTTTTGACAGGCAGAGTTAGGTAGAGTTATAGATAGAGACAGAAAGAAAGGTCTTCCTTCTGTTGGTTCACCCCCCAAATGGCTGCTACGGCCAGCACTGCGCCAATCCAAAGGCAGGAGCCAGGTGCTTCCTCCTGGTCTCCCATGCCAGTGCAGGCCCCAAGGACTTGGGCCATCCTCCACTGCACTCCCAGGCCACAGCAGAGAGCTGGCCTGGAAGAGGAGCAACCGGGACAGAATCCGGCGCCCTGACCGGTACTAGAACCCCGTGTGCCAGCGCCACAGGCGGAGGATTAGCCTATTGATCCGCGGCGCCGGCCTGAATCCTCAGTTCTTAAAGGAGAGTCCAGAGCATCACTGCTCAGTAGAAAGTCTTTGAGAATGTGCCTCGTATGTATTTGAAAATGTTCTAGTAGCCACATTAAAACAGTCCAAATACATGGGTAAAATTAATTTAATAATTTAGCCTGATATATTCATAATATTTTAATATGTAGTCAATACTTATGAATTACTAATGAGTTATTTTACATCATTTCCTTCATACTAAATATTTGAAATCTGGTATGTATTTTACACTTGGAGCACGTCTCATTCCAGGCTACCTATGAATGCTGAGCAACAGCAGGAGATAGTGGGGCAAGCAAGGCACCATTCGCCTTCCTCTCTGCCTATTAGGGCAGCTCTTGAGACCCTTCTAGGGAGACCCTGGATTCCCTGAAATGTGATCTGACACCTGTGGTGATGCCTCAGAAATCCCCATACTTCAAACCTGTTGACAGCTGTGCCAGGAATTGATGATCCAGTTTGCCATAACATTTTCCTCCTTGACACTTCTTTTGCGCTACCTCCCAAACTGCTCCTTAAGGAGTAGATTAAAAGCAGAGCTGTAATTTTCTAGAGGTTGTCTAAATCATACCATTTGGGTTTTATAAGGCTTTCTATGTCATACTTGCTAGAGTACAATAAGCAAAATTGGGAAGGAAAGAGTGCATTAAAATTTGCCAAGGCTAAGAAATTCCAAGAAGTAGAATTGTGACTCGGGAAATTAAACCATAAATCATATTTTGTAACATTCTTAAATTTTCAAGTAAAAAAGCTTTCCAACAGTAATTTTTTTATTATTTATGTTTTACTCTAATATTTTAGGATATTTTAGATGAAATGAGAAAAGAATTAACAAAGCTAAAAGAAGAGCTCATTGATGGTAAGTGCTTGAACAAATTTGCAACCCCTTTAAAATAAAGTTTAAGAATAGCCATTTTTAAGAAAATATAGATGAAGGAATATCTAGTTAATACTTAGGGCACTTTTCCAAAGTATCCTGCCTTTCACCTGTTTGTGGATGTCAGTGAGGCGCTGTCTGCTTCAGTCATAGAAATTATTTGTGAAACTAGCGGCAGACATGACTCGTAAGTGTCAAATGCTGCCTGTGACTTGATGCAGAGCCAGGTGAACATGTTGTTCTGTAGGCTCCCTCCACACAGCCACTGCCATCTTGTTTCTGAGCCCACAGAATTGTTTTCATATTATATACAAAGAAAAATAAACATAGGAATTAGTATCTTTGTAATATTTAAATAAAGGTCCATGCAATAAAATATGCAAAGGCAATACCTATTTTTATGACTGTGTGTTTGAACACAGTCCTTAAGCTTTCTTAATGAATCACTAGTTTCTTTACTTTATTGTTCATATTTACCTTCAATGCTTTTCCTTTCCTCTCTAGCAATCAGGCAGGAACTGAGCAAGGCGAATACTGCATAGAGAAACAGCCTATGGAGAGACAGGACTTTAATCTGGAGAAGAAATATTCCTACGAACAACTGTTAACAGCAAACCCCTACATATTGTGAGCTCAAAAAAGAAAGTAGAGACAGAAGGAGGGAAAACCAACACGTTCTGAAGCCTTCAGATATGACTGGCAACAAGCTAGTTCCCTCCCAGTTTGCTGCTTTTTTTTTTTAACTTTTACAACAGGATGGAAAAGAGTTGGATAAGAGTTCCTATGACAGTTACGCAGAAAATACTAAACTCACCAGGCAAGATCACCGTGCAATGGAATACTTTCATGTCAAGATAAAATCGCACATTTTCCACAATCCATTGGTAAATAAAGAGAAGAAAGGCTTAAGAAGGTTTTTTTTTAAGAGAATACTGATACTGATGAAGAATTTAGCAAATTATGCTGTTGTATTGTAAATGTTTCTCTCAGGTTTGTCTTCCTATCATATTTGATATTCCATGAATAATTAAGATCAGCCCTATGTAGGTTAACATCGTAAAATGCGGAACAAGCAATTGGATGCGCTTTTGAAGGGTGATATTCATAAGGAACTATCCTAAAATTTGTCCAGCTTGAGGAATTTTAGAATGATAGGAAGTCTCTCAAGTTAGCCTTCATGCAATTTTGTAGATTAAAACATAAATTTCATCCAGAATTTAAAGATTTAGATGCCTTCCTAAATTGTTACAATGCTTTACCAAATCTATGACTTCTACATAACACAAACCAGTGGTCAAATGTAAAACAGTATATTGTAGATTTACTGTAGGTTTTCAACCTTTTTTAGACTTATGCATGTGGACATTTTTATAATGTAATTACAATCACCACAAATTGAGCTTTTTTAATTGCAGGCAGTAATGCATGTGATACTAATATGTAGTGGCCTTTTCAAGGCCTAGTCCCAGGGAAAACATTTTGTAGAGTACAAGGGAGTGGGAGGAAGGGAAGGAATAATTTTTTATTTAATTTCTGCACTATCTTTCTCAATTACCTGCATGAGTAATAATGAGGAATATTTTGTGACTTTAATTGGTAAATATGTTAACGAAACCAAGTACTTAATCTTTTACATCATGTCTTCAGCTCTCTGTATTTTAACCAGTAATTTCAATGGTCTGAAACATGATCCTGAGCATCACATGAGCCATAGCTCGTTGTGGAACTCAAAAAGTTTGATCACTGAATTTGGCAGTTACTCTTACCCAGGTGCCCCTGCAGTTACACAGGTATTCAGGTGTTCCTGACTATGAAGCTGCTTTGGAATTTCGTTACTTTAAAATGCAAAAAATAAAAAATAACAATGATGGCAGCAATTAAGGTCATAGAAATCATTAGAAAAAAGGGAAACCAATGAAGAGTTCTGCAGTTTTCTTTTAGTGAATAAAGGAAGACTTAGGTGGTGGGAAGAAGGAATCAGATACTCTACTTACCACCTCGTGTGTGCGTGTGCTGTGTGTATGTATTTCACACCTTCCTCTTTTCTTTGGAACTGGTAAGATTAAAATAGAAGAGAAAATCCTGTATGTTGCAATGATAGCTTTCTGGAAAATTTAGGAAATGAGGAATTCTTCAAGCTCTCCATCTTGATTCATGCTTGAGTTGTTATGTGCCATATTTGCTTAGACATCTTTGATTATCAAAAGTTTCACTAACATTTTGAAGAAATTCTCCACCTTCATCTCTTATGTAGATTTCCTACATCTCAGTTCATCAGACAAAGCTTGTGGATGGCATAGTTCCCAGCCAGAACCACTCAAGGAAGTGTAAGTGAGGGAGGTTTTTTCCTTGTTAAAACAGTTCATGTTTCTGTAGAAGCTTCACTTTCAGATTAAACTGATGGATGAGCTATCATAATTCAAGTGCACAGTTCTCTTTTCTATCAAGTATTCTTTGTCATGCGGTAGTTGTAAAGGCATCAAAGACGCAACAGGCTTATGAAGTACTACTTTCTAAAAGAAATAGGCATTTTCATCTGTATTATTGTACTTTTTGGTTAGGCAAACACTTTAATGATATAAACAATATGTCCCTTATAAATCTGGTCAGAAATCACTTTTGATTTTGTTAGGTAAGTTAACTAGTCTGTAGTAGGTAGAGTACTGGGTACAAGTGGTCCAAAGTAAGATAAAAGACTAAAAACAATGCTAATTCTTAAAGAAGAAACTGGTTTATGCACTAAACGTTTTGTGCCTTGGTCTATATTAACATGATGTCTGTGTAAAATGACAGAAACGAACCAGTGTTGAATCACGCTGTTTTCCATCCTCTTTTGCATTATACCAGATTGCTAAATGTATTCTTTCCAAGAAGCTGGATTGAATTTATTGTATACATTTGCTGTCATGTGTGACAGTTGTGTCACTGTTAGAGATTTCAGTAATTAAAATGGCAAACAGAGGCTTAAGTTATTTTCCTTATCAAAACTGTTCCTTGGAACCACATGATGATGATGGTGTTTGTGCTCTTGTACATTGGATGTCTTAAGCTGGTGCAGTTTAGGGGATCCTTTCTAATGACAGGAAGGTACCACTGTCCTCAACACTGTGATCTGACCTGTGACAAATCTGTACTATACACTATGTACATGGCTAACAAGTCAACTGCAAACAAACTGAATGTACACACCTTAGTGCTGGTGCTGAAATCTCTTCAGAGTAGTCATCATGATTTCAAAGATCATGTTTAAAGATTTGCAAGCATCAAGTGTCAATCAAACTGAAGATGAAATACTAATGAATGTTGAGTCCTCATGCTTTAGGTGTACTTCCTTTTTAGATTTTTCAGTTCTCTGCTATTTTACCGTAACTGTTTCATTTAAATTTCCTACACGCTAATAACTTCGTTTGTGCGATTGAAATAAAATTGCAGTATATACTTGTTGCTTGTTTGTGACACTCAGATAATCTCGGGAAGTAATTTGTTAGTTGTAAAACAAGTTAAGTCGGATGTAAAAACCACTTTTCAGAGTCCAAGACGTCACTGCTTGAAGTCCGTGTATCCTGTCACTGTTCGTTAAAGATTCATAGAAGTCATGAACGCCAAGTAATGTCTGCAGAGACACTCACTCTTGTCGTTTATTTGAAATAACTAGGTGGCCTCTAGTTTGTATTTTCTCTCAGCTTAGCTTAGTCAAGATGATGGTCTTTAATTTTATTCAGTTTGTTCTACAACATGATCAGATACAGTCTCATTTCTATAGTTAGACTTTTCCTTTATGGGGTTGGTGAGGAAAAGGACATTATTAAGTAATGAATTTTAAATGTCATAAATCTATATCTATACTTTTTTTTAAGATTTATTTATTTATTTGAGGCAGAGTTACAGAGAAAGGGACAGACAGAGATCTTCCATCCACTGGTTCACTCCCCAAATGGCCACAATGACTGGAGCTGTGCCAATCCAAAGCCAGGAGCCAGGAGCTTCTTCCAGGTCTCCCATGTGGGTGCAGGGGCCCAGGCACTTGGGCCATCTTCCATTGCTTTCCTGGGCCACAGCAGAGAGCTGGATCAGAAGTGGAGTAGCCAGGACTCGAACCAGCACACATATGGGATGCCAGCGCTGTAGGCGGGTGCTTAACCTACCATACCACAATGCCGGCCCCTGCATCTATACTGTTTATCTGTACATTATGCTGATCTCTTAAAGCAGTACTTATTAGCAAGCACTAACTTTGAGTTCCTTTTAAAAATCCTACTATTTTCTTTAGAGATACACAAACTTTGTAGTTTTTGTTGTTGTTGTTGTTGTTTTCCCCCATAATCCCTGGAAGCTGTGGATTGGGTTCCTGACATTTGGATTCAGTTCTTTAATCAGCAACTGATTTCTCTCTGGCCTGACTCAGGCTCTTGTTTCTCTTCATATATAAATCAGAATACTTGTCCACAAACCAAGTCACTTCTCATTGGAAAATGAATTAAAGTAATAGATACTAACCTTTCAAATTTGCCCAACTACAACTTTATATCTCCAATGTTCTCGTATATATACTTTTTTTTTTCGATAGGCAAAGTGGACAGTGTGAGAGAGAGACAGAGAGAAAGGTCTTCCTTTGCCGTTGGTTCACCCTCCAGTGGCCGCTGCGGCTGGTGCACCGCGCTGATCTGAAGCCAGGAGCCAGGTGCTTCTCCTGGTCTCCCATGGGGTGCAGGGCCCAAGCACTTGGGCCATCCTCCACTGCACTCCCTGGCCACAGCAGAGAGCTGGCCTGGAAGAGGGGCAACCGGGACAGAATCCGGCGCCCTGACCGGGAGTAGAACCCGGTGTGCCGGCGCCGCAAGGTGGAGGATTAGCCTAGTGAGCCGCGGCGCCGACGAGAGGGATCTTTTATCTGCTGATTTACTCCCCAGTTGTGGGCAATGGCCCGAGCTGTCCTGATCTGGAGCCAGGAACCAGGAGCTTCCTCTGGGTCTCCCACACGGGTACATGGGCTCAAGGTCTTGGGCCATCTTCTACTGCTTTCCCAGGCCATAGCAGAGAGCTGGATCGGAAGTGGAGCGACCAGGACTTGAACCAGCGCCCATATGGGATGCCGGCACTGCAGGTGGTAGCTTTACCCGCTATGCCACAGTGCCAGCCCCTCGTATATATACTTTTAACCAATATGAAGAATTGGCCTTAACTTTTTTATTATGAATTGGGGTGACAGAGAGCTTCCATCTGCTGGTTCACTCTCCAGATGCCCACAACAGCTAGGACTGGGTTGAGGCTGGAGCCAAGAACATAATTCATACCTCCCAGAAGGGGACAGGAACCATCACCACTACCTTCCAGGGTCTGCATTGGCAGGAAGCTGAATAATTGAACCTAGGCACTCCATTATGGGATGCAGGGGTCTTAACCATTAAATTCTGAGTAATAAAATCCTACAAAAACCCTTCCTTGATTTTTTTGTACCTATAATAACTAACTCCCTTACCCTTTAAATTTTATTGATTAAAAACAAAAGTGACATAAAAGATGTGAACACACTGTAGGAGCATCTTGTTTCCTTGTGTAGCTGTTGTGTAACCCGTTCACTTCCAGCTCCAAATCTGTTCCTACAGGATGACTTTTGTTTTCAGTAGAAAGATGAATTAGTATCTGTTCATCTGTGTCCTCTTCAAAGCTGTAAGGAATGAGAAAAGTGTCCTAAGAGTAAATTGAATTGCTGATGTTGAATATTTAATACCTCTGACTTTTCACTGAAAACCATTTAATATTTATGAGTTAGATTGTTGGAAGTCAAAACTTGAACCTCTGTGACTGAACAAAATTGTTCTAGGTGCTTCTGCAAACATCATAGTAGAAAACATTTACTTACAAATGAGTACTGTTCTCCTCTGGAGAAGCATGTCTGATTGAGAAGGTCATGCTGGGCACCCTCAGGAGAAGCCATTTGTGGGTGCCCCACGCTGTGGAGGGCTCTCATGCAGGCTTTCTCTCATTCCCAACATCGAAATAGCCTGTGGATTAGATCTGCTCACTGTGTGTTTCTGGGTCATTTTTAAGACATAAAAAGGTTTTTGAAATGTCTGTTGATAGTATTGGGAAACCTACAACTTCTGATTTAAAAGTCTAAAGTGCGGCCGGCGCCGTGGCTCACTAGGCTAATCCTCCACTTTGCGGCGCCGGCACACCGGGTTCTAGTCCCAGTCGGGGCGCTGGATTCTGTCCCAGTTGCCCCTCTTCCAGGCCAGCTCTCTGCTGTGGCCAGGGAGTGCAGTGGAGGATGGCCCAGGTGCTTGGGCCCTGCACCCCATGGGAGACCAGGAGAAGTACCTGGCTCCTGCCATCGATCAGCGCGGTGTGCCGGCCGCGGCGGCCATTGGAGGGTGAACCAATGGCAAAGGAAGACCTTTCTCTCTCTCTCTCTCTCTCACTGTCCACTCTGCCTGTCAAAAAAAAAAAAAAAAAAATCTAAAGTTGGGAAAGAAACTAAAAAATGAATCCTGTAATTAGGATGATCACAGTTGCTATGGTAGATACAGGTGGGCAAGTCACAGAAGAGGAAAATTGAGACTTGGCAAGGGGGGATATTGGAAACATAGTATGAAGTAGGTAGACTTACCTCTGTCTTTATAAATGTAAAGCAGTAGAATCTAAATGACTTGGTCCTAGTGACTTAGGCTTTTGTAGGAATTGTCAAATCTGTTGCTGACTTCTGTTGAATCGGAAGGAACTGGTGTCCTTTTTATCATGGTTGACTAAACTGAAATGTTTGTGTCCTGGCTTTCTGAGGAACAAACAGCAGTAAAGGCTGGGGCCTCGGCTCAGTGCTGGAGCCAGGTCAGTCCCTGGGCTGCACACAGTTCTGTGACGTGTGTGACATACTCGGGAGCTGAGCAGAGAGCAGAACCCATGGACGCACACGCTGTGGGATACAGGACTCCTTACTCCAGGGAGCAGACCCAGACCCAGGGAGAAGGCCCTGGCCGCATAGCATCGACTCGGGTCTTAGAGGCGTGTCCATAACTCCGAGGAGTTAGGAGTGAGCCGGTCACTAAATAACTGCATTTGCTCAATCAAAATTGAGTTACTGGAAATACAGACGTCTGTTTTAATAAGAATATTACAAAAGCTTACATATTTCATTAGAGAACTAAGCTTGTTAGGTTGCAGTTATCGCTAAACAACCAAAGTGTCCATATACAAATAAAAGCCTCATAGTTTATTGTGTTGTAAATCTAATTTAACTGAGTCGTTTCAGCCAAGAGATTTCTTTAGCAGCATGTAACAGACATCTGAAAGGAAGAACATCACAAACTTGGGCAGTGACTTGTGCTCCAGGTTGGTTTGGTTTTTGGAAGAGAGTGATTCTGGGAAGCATCGGAATAGAGAGGATCGCGCCATCGGCACTTGGGATGACACGGGAAATAGTAGTCGGGAGTAAACCACAGGGCTGCAGAGAGAGCATTCCCCACTGTTCCCAGGCAGCTTCTGGAAATTCGGATCCGGAAACAGCTGACAATCAAATCACGGGTGTGGGGTGTCTTAAGGTCCCACCACCTACCTTTTTTTTTCTTTAGTTAATGGCAATTTCAGAACAATTTTAATGGGGTGAGCATTTAGCCAAGAGGGCTCATGTCCAAGTACCTGGGTTTGTTTCCTGGCTCCAGCTTCCTGCTAATGCAAACCCTGGGAGGCAGTGGGGACGGCTCAGAGTGGGAAGCCTGGGCTGAGTCCCCAGCTCCTGTAGCAGGCAGCTGGGGAGCGAACCAGCGGATATGAGGTCACTCTGTCACTCGGCCCTTCAGAGTAACGTAAGTAAAAACCATTTTTCAGTGTGTCCCAGGCGTTGGTCGAATGGCGGAAGTTGGTGCAGATGAATTTGTGCAGCCCTGAGCGGGCAGGAGCGGGGCACCGACCTCACCGCCAGCGCGTATAGGGAGCACAGTCGGGAAGCCCGGGCCTCGTCTCTGCTGAAGGGGGTGGGGATTTGATGGCTGAGCTGGGAGTTACCACGGATACCCCATGCCTCACCCTAAATCTCAGTTGCATTCAGCTGAATTTGGGCAGTGTTGGTCCACACACAAAGTACCTTTGTTTGTGGAAGAAAACATTGGAAGATTGTTCCTGACTCCACTTCCTTGCCACATTCTTAGACGGATTACGCCTTCTGAGTTCCGTCTGCTTTCTGTGTGTGGAGTCACCTCACTGCCCCGGCCCGGGCCCGGCTGACTGCTGTTTCGGGTCCTTATCTGCCAGCTCCCCCTGCCTCTGCTCTTCGTCCAGTGTATCCTCTCGGCTACTGCTTGCTTTGTTTTTGACCCAAGAGAAAACTGGAGAAGGCAGGCCTTTTTTGTATTTTACTTTCCAGGCGCAAATGCAGCTTTTCATTGTTAGGAAATTGTAGACCCCATTCACCAAAGAGTGAGCATCCTAGGTGTGAGTAAGGG